TCCCCATCCCTGTCCCCGTCCTTCTCCTTCTCCTTCCTCTTCTGTATTTAGTACAGGGTCTACAGCATCTCACTACGTAGATCCTAGATCCGTAGATCCATAGTGATTCTCCTGTTTTCAGCCTCCCAAGTGCTGGGATTACAGGTACATGCCACCATACCCAGTCTCAATCGCAGCCTCCGTGTCCCCAGCGGGCGGGGCTGAACCCCAGCCACTGCTTCTTCTTAATCCTTCTCCATGTCACTGATCACCCAATCTCAAGCCCTTTTTCACAGCACCTGCCTATGCATAAGCAAGATGACTGTCATTTACATAAACAAGAAAGGTGATGGTCTCAGGAGCAAGGCGATCAGCCTAGAACACAGGGCAGGAGTTCCACGACACCCATTTCAGTTCCCGCTGTGTGGCTGCTCCCTTCCATACCATAGGTCCTCTCTCTTTGTCTCTTGGGGAATGCACAACTCAACACCTCTGCAGGATCATCTCACCAGACAAGTTCTCAGATTTAGCCTTAGGCTGTGACACATCAAAACAGGGAGATGAAATGAAACGATCCAGGTCATGCCTGGACCTGGTATGTAGGACAGCAGACACCACCACACATATTTGCTTTTTATGTCTTACAACGGCTTCAATGTCAATGGGAGCAGGCTAGGAGTGAGCACAGTTAACTCGAGCAAGGCTGCCAGTCAGCTGCCACACTGCGCTTCTAGAAAGAAGGATCTGGAAAGCTGGAAAAGGAATGGGACCATAAATTACCCCTAGCTCAAAGTTAAATGATGATTCCGGACCTAAAGATTGAAACAACCTCCCCCTTGCGCTTCCACTTCACTGGCACCACGGGCTGCAGCAGGTGAAGCAGCAGAGCCCCAGCTCCTGGGCGCAGAGGAAGCTCCACAACGGTCTCCCGCCCACGGAAACCACAGCTGGCTGCAGGACCCACAAATGCGGCGGCAGGAGCGCAGGCCGGACCCTCCGCATACTCCCTTAGGATGGCTCCACGGACTGGCATGCAGACACAGCTCCAAGCCAAGCTACTAAGGACGGCATCCCTAGGCTACGCCCATCCGGCCTGGGTGCCGCCTTCCCCCCCCCCCCGGGGGGTGGGGGTGACTCGCCTAGGAGCTTTTGCCTTTCGGCTCTGCAGAGCTGGACTGAGATCTGGGAGGACCCGTTCCAAGGTGAGAGAGACCACAGCAGTCCAGAGGAGACCCTGGGGGAACATCTCCTCTGCCTCTGGCGCTGTGCCCAGGAAATAAAGGAATGTTGAAATGATGGGGAGTGGGTAGGAGCGACTCGGGATAGGCACAGCGCCAGAGAGGGCAGGGTCTCCAAAGGCAGGCGCAGCTGTGCGCCGCAGAGGAGGCTTGCCACAGCTTCCTGAAGGTCACCTCCTGTGACCGCACGGAGCCACGTGTTAAGTCAGAGGAGTATTTTTCACCGGGCTCGTTTATCACAACTTGCTGTAACACAGCAAAGTCCAGGTGGGCGGGCCCTGCTGCGCTCTTCTACTAAAGGCCGGGCAAAGCGCTCCTGCGCCTAGACAGCCAGCGTCTGTCTGTAGCTGCTGGAGCACAGCCATGGTGATCTGGGGCCTAGTGCTCGCAGCCGTGCTGGTGGCCATCCTGGGCTACCTGTGTCTGCCCGGGCTCTTCCGACAGCGCAAGCCCCAGGAACCCCCCCTGGACAAGGGCTCCATCCCCGGCCTTGGCCATGCTATGGCTTTCCGGAAGAACATGCTTGAATTCCTGAAGGGAATGCAGGCCAAGCATGGTGATGTGTTCACTGTGCAGCTGGGGACCCAATTCTTCACCTTTGTCATGGACCCCCTCTCCTATGGCCCCATCATCAGGAATGCAAAGAAGAGTCTGGACTTTACGCAGTACGCCCAAGAGCTGGTGCAAAAGGTGTTTGGATACCAGCCCTTGGAGAATGACCCTGTGGTGATGCATTCCGCCAGCACCAAGTACCTCAAGGGGGACGGCCTGGAGGAGTTGAACAAAGTCCTACTGGACAGGATGTTCCTGGTGCTTCTGGGGCCCAGAGGCCCAGGACTGGATGCCAGCTGCTGGAAAGAGGACGGTCTTTTTCACTTCTGCTACAACAGCTTGTTCAAGGCTGGCTACCTGAGCTTGTTTGGCTGCACGAAGGATAAGGAGTGGGACCTGCTACAGGCAGAGGAGATATTCAAAAAGTTCCGCAGGTTCGACCTTCTTTTCCCCAGATTCGTCTACTCCCTGCTGGGGCCCCTGGAGTGGATTGAAGTGGGCCAACTCCAGCGTCTCTTCCACAAGATGCTCTCTGTGAGGCAGAACCCGGAGAAGGATGGTGTGAGCAACTGGATGAACTACATGCGCCACTGCCTGGGTGAGTGCGGGTGCAGCCAAGATATGCTGGACAAGTTTAACTTCATGATGCTCTGGGCCTCGCAGGGAAACACAGGACCTACTGCATTCTGGGCCCTCCTGTTCCTCCTGAAGCACCCAGAAGCCATGCAGGCTGTGAAGGAGGAGGCCGCCGAGGTCATGCATGGGACCAAGTTGGGAGCCACACAGTCATTCACCTTCCTTGTCAGTGCCCTGCAGCGCACCCCTGTCCTGGACAGCGCGATGGAAGAGACCTTGAGGCTGGTGGCCGCACCCACCCTGCTCAGGGTGGTGCAGGAAGACTACACCCTGAAGATGGCCAGTGGGCATGAGTACTTGCTTCGCCATGGAGACAGAGTAGCTATCTTCCCCTACCTCTCCGTGCACATGGACCCTGACATCCACCCTGACCCCTCCACCTTCAAGTACAATCGGTTCCTCAACCCCGATGGCAGCCGAAAAATGAACTTCTATAAGGCGGGCAAGAAGACTCACTACTACAATATGCCGTGGGGCTCGGGTGTATCCATTTGTCCTGGCAGGTTCTTTGCCCTCAGCGAAATGAAGCTCTTTGTTCTGCTCATGGTAACATACTTTCACCTAGAGCTGGTAGACCCTGACACCCCCGCTCCCCCTATAGACCCGAGGCGGTGGGGCTTTGGTGTCACACAGCCCAGCTATGAGGTACGCTTCCGCTACCGTCTGAAGCCCATGGACTGAGCTCAGCCAGGCCTGGTTAGGAGGGGCCTGGGGTCTCCTACTTCTGCTCACCCCCTGCACTCCCACCCACGCTAGCCAGCCCTCCCTCTGTCCTGCTGTCTTGCTCTCTGGCCTCTTTGTCATCTCACCATCTGCAGAACCATCCTGGAAAAAAAGTGCAGTGGAAGGGGAGCAGCTGGGGCCGAACCTGTGCAGCGAGGGTGCCCGCTTCCCATGTTTCCATGAGAAATGCCGCACTCTGTGGACCTCAGCACCCGCCCTCCGGCCCCACTGTCTCCCACATTCTATGGATTTGGGGCTCTAGAAAGTGTTATCGTATAGTCAAGCCACAGGTGCAATTTTTAATTCCTTAGTAGACAAGTTTTTTAAAAGCCAGAAAGCAAAGAATTCATTTTTATAATATATTGAAATAGAACTGGGCCCTTCCAGGTTGTTTGCATTTTGACATGTGACCAATCTATGAATATTAACAAAATATTTTTATGTTGCTTTTCTTCTGCCCCTCCTTGGAAATCTGGGCTGTGCTTTATCCTTACACCACTGTCCCGCCACATCACGAGCACCCACAGCCTCGGGTGGCTGGTGGCTGCCTTTGATGCCCTAGGTGTTTGGGAGGGCCTGCATGGTGGCCTTGTCTCCTACCTGCACAGTGCCCGCAGGGTGCTCCCACCCTCCCTCAGCCGACACAGCGGTCTTGAGTCACGCCGGTCTCACGTCTGCCAGGTGTTGCCACTACACTGCTGATGCAGCTTGCCCACGCACACCACAAGATCTGTCTTGTGCTGTTCCCAGGGCCACTCCTCTTCCTGATCTCCCTGTCTGGCCTGGGTCACCCTCCTGCCATCACCCCAGTTGATACCAGAGACACCCTCACTTCCTCTCATCATCCCCCAGCTAACTGACTCTGTGTCCCCAACACGCTGATGCCTCTGCAGTGTGTTTCCTCTGGCATCCCTGCTGCCAGCCTGCCCTGTGGCCTCTGTAGCTGTCTGCCCAGAGGTGCCCTGCCCTGTGTGAGAGCCTCTTCCAAAGGCCCCTTCCGAAGCCCTCTGGTTGGCAGCCTTTTGCCGTCTGTGTCCTACAGCTGCCGCACGCCTGGGCGCTCCCCAACCTCCCCATCTGGGGTGGTTCCAGCCTGCCTGCTCTGTGCAAGCAGGGGCACTGCCCCGCTCCCTGCTCCGCTGCCTGCTGCTCCTGGAAGCCCTATGGGGTTTCTCCCCGACCAGCCCTGCAAGCCTTGATCCACCTGGGTTCCCCTCACTCTCTGTAACCCAGCACACCCATTAGTGTCGTTCTGTTCCATGGCTCCTAGCCTAGAACCCACCCAGCTGTGATTTTGTTTTCATCTTCTGACCCCACGTTCTGAGTTTATATTAAATGACAGAATCATGACAGTCCTTGTCAGCTGCCTGACTCGGTGTCCTGACTCCTCCCCACGCTTCGGTTGCGGACTTAGGAAGTAGAGACTGTCCATACTGCCAGACAAGCATTCCAGGGCTGGGTGGGAGCAGAACAGCGTTGCTCCCCAACTGTGGCTGCTGAAGGCTGGGCCCTGGCAGGGGTGGGGCAGATGGAGATGGAGGGTGGGAGCTGCAGGGACGGGGCAGGAGGAGGTGGGCCCCAGCCCGTGACCCCCAGCAGGGCCCCAGAGAGCTCCCCTCTGCTGCTGCTGCCCCACCTCTCCCACAGACTCTTCCTTTTCCCCGAGGTGACTGTTGTGCTGGGTCTTGCCAGGATGCAAGGGTGTGCATAGGCTAATTCTGTCCCCAGCCTCCTGCGTGACCCAGGCTAGCAGCCACTTTTCCGGGGCTTAGTTGCTCAGAACTAGTCTATCAGACTCCAAAGCCTCCCAGCTGACAGCAGAAGCTAGGATTCCCCTCCTGTTCCAGGGATGGGGCGGCACAAAAGGAGAGTGGCAACTGGGGAGGTGGGCGTCCCCAGAGCCGTTACCAACCACCTCCTGTGCAGCCAGGCCCTGGCCCAGGAAGAGGGCCCCTGGATCTGGGAGGCAGGACCTCCTTGTTCTTGTTGAGCAGCACTGAGCCCCCACTTTCCCCACACCCAGGGGCATGCACAGCCAGGCCTGCCGGGTGACCAGTCCTTCCCTGACGGCCTGAGCTCAGGTCAGGACCTGGCTGAGGCCAGAGGGACAGCACACCCATCCCAGGAACTTCACAGGCCAGGCTGGCTGGACACAGCCAGAGAATGGGAGCAGCTTGCGCCAGGGCAGGGAGCCTAGGCCTGCGTTGGTGCTGCCCTTGTCTCAGTGCCCCCTGGGCACTGCTGGAGAGGCCTGGTAACAGCCTCGAGGCGGTAAGACAGAGACCCCGAGGGGCCACCTCGTCCCTGCTGCCCTGAAGCGGCAGCCCCGCCCCCTCATTTCTACAACTCTTCCCAGTCCTTGTAGGCCTGGAAGGAAAGCTTGCAGCACTGCTCTGAGGCCCGTGGTGGTGTCCAGGCACTGGGAAAGGAAGGCGCCGCTGCGTCCATAGGCTGATGCCAGAACCTCCCAGGCAATGCAGGGAACTGGGTGGGCTGGGGGATGCCCCGCCCACACTGCCCCACAGGAGTGCCTGCGGGGCCACGGTGCAAGATCTCACCTGGACGGAGCAGGAAGGACACCCCCTCCCCAGGCCTCTGAGGCAGCAGAGAAGAGCCTGGGTCCAGGCCAGGAGTGAAGCGGGGGGAGCCAGGAGCTGCTATGCAGGCACCCTGAGACAGGAGAGAGACGCACATCCCCCACCCTCCTCCCCAGCCCTCGCCCCTCCCCCGGCATACGTGGCAGGCCCTACTCAGAATACAGCTGTCTACATCCACACAGCGACAGGCACACGGGGACAAAGAGGAACCCACAGGCCAGTCCACGGCAGCAGCTTCTACACTATGCTCAGCCACACAGCAGCACACTGGGCAGGCTGTGGCACGGGCTCACACACAGGCTGTGCATACTGTCCAGACAAGCACCCACATACACACCCATGCACACATATATGCTCACATACATGTCCACCAAAGCCAGTGACAAGCCTGCCGGTGTCCCTTACCTGGCGCTCCTGTCCCACCGACTGCATCATGGACGCAAGGCTGCCCTGGTACCAGTCTGTGCTGGTAGAACTCGGGCTGTGCCCTCTGCCCGCCGCCCGTGAGCAGCGCAGACGTCCCTTGGGGCAACACTTGCGGAGCTAAGGGGAACCCATCTTCTCTGTCCCCAAACACATGCCACCGTCAGAGCTGGACTTTGCTCCCAAGATGGAGCGAGCCGCAAGTCTGTCGTGAGTGAGGGCAGCCTGGGTCCTGGGGGACGGCAGGACAGTGGGGCTGACTTGGGCCCCCTGAGGGACAGCGAGCTCGGGACGCCCGTGCCAAGGGACACCTGCTAGAGTGCAGGGCAAAGATGAGAGAAACAGGTCTTACCGCAGCCCTGGCTTAGGATCGTGGGTCTCCTGCTCAGGGGTACGGTGACAATAAAACACAGACAAGAGATACGCTTTGGTTACAGGGGCACCAGGATGGTCGAAGCCGAATGGCGGGCTAGGACACAAGGCTCCCTGCTCCAGGCTTTCATGAGGTGCACAGCGTAGTTGGGGGGAAGGCGCCGGTCAGCTGCAACAGCGCTGGGGCCGAACTTCTGACATGGCCACGGTTAAAGAGTCAAGGACAAGGCATTCTTGGAAACGCACCCAGGAGTAGCCATGGCGACTAGTAACCCGGCTGTCTGCTGACTCACTCCCGAGCTGGAAGGCCGTTGCCCAAGAGCGGCCCTGTGCTGCACGCTGGCCGGCTGGGAGGTGCCAGGCCTTTAGACTGCTCGTTTCAGCTCCCGCCACTGGTTTAAGAACTAACCTGTCTTTGGGCCAGCCAGAGGCCCCACAAGGCATATGGCCTGGGACAGACTCCCCGCTGACCTTTGTGCCAATTGATTAATATTCATTACTGCCTTCTCGTAACACCTCAAGTGGTCCTCAGCAAGACATGACACTCCTTGATCCTCTTTACCAGGCATTTATTGAAAACTGAATAGAGAGAAAGAAGAAAAGAGGAAACATTTTGAAGTCAAAAAGAACTCAGTAAACATCCTCTATGTCCTGAGCCTAAGAGGAAGTGCGGAGGGTACGGCTCCTGCCTGTGGCAATGCCCCATTGCCCTGGCCAGCTTCAGTCCCACTCTCCACCCTCATCCCTCTCCTGGCTCTGGGTCCAGTCATGCAAGTCAGAAGCCCCCAGACATGCAGGGTGCTGTGTGGTCCTGTAACGTGAAGGAAGCACCGAGTGCTGTAGAAACTCCAGGGAGAATCTCCTCACCTCCCCTGGGGACAGCGACATAGCAATGGCGGACCTGGAGGAGGAAGCTCTGAGCCAGCACTGTGGGTCAGGAGGGCACCTGTGCCCATGCAGAAGGGCGTCTATGGGTCTGGGCCACCACAAGGGCAGGCCGGGCTGACTGGCGATGCCCAGTTCCGAGGCTGGACTCCAGCCCCAAGACGCCCACACTGTGCCAACCTGGGGCCCTCCTGCCTGGGCTCACGCCTCTGGTCTGTGTCCCTGTGTGTCCCTGGCCTAACCTGGATCACACATCCTCCACAGGCAAGTCTCTGGTAAATGGCCAATGCAGGCTACGGTAGGCATGTAGGAAGCTCAGTGATTCCTAATATAGTATGTTAAGTAATACAATTGTAATCAGAAAGAGGCTTATTTGGGCTTGCAGTCTTGAGGGTTCCAATCCTGGGCTGGAACTCTGCCTCTTGTGGGCAGTGTACAGCCAGCACTCTGCACGCTTCACAGCCAGGAAGGAAAAGGCTGCAGCCTCACTGTGCCCCAGGTTCTGCCCTTCATGATCAAGACCTCTCACTGGGCCCCACTGTGCCGGCACCGCCCCGAGACCAGCCTTTGAGCCCTGGGCATGGGGGGACATGAGCCATGACCACCCCAGTCTCAACCCTGGGTTCTGCCCAACCTCCACCCAGGCCAGGGAAGGCAGAGCACCTACCACACCTTCCATGGCCTCCCAGGAGCAGTGCTCAGCCCTGAAATCACCTGGGACCAGGGCTCAGCATGGCGACAGGCTGGAAGAACATGCAGGAGGAATGAAAGAGAAGAGGTATGGAGAAGCCCAGTGGAGAGAGGGCAGAGCGGGTGGCAAGGTGGGCATCCTTAGGGCAGACACAGACCTGACAGAGGAAGGGGGATCCAAGCCAAGCCTCGGCGGACAGGAGGAACCACGTCTTTTTGGGGGCAGCAGGCCAGCACAGTGGCACCGCTGGGATCCCTAGAGAATGAACCTGGGGTCCCCAGAAACAGTCAGAAGTGCAGAGGGAAGGGGAGCTGGGAAACCACTGTGGCCCACAGCGAAGAAGTAGAGGAGGCTGAGAACTGGTTTCAGGGCTCCTGGGGGAGACGGTCTGAGTGGAACCCCAAGGGAGCAGTGCAGGCTGGCCTGGGCTAGCTTCAGGGACTCCCTATGTCTTCCAGGTTCTGGGAGCCCTCAGCCTGTCCCTGGGTCAGTTCATTCAGGGTGGTCATGTCCTCTTGGGCCGTCAGCCTGCTGCTGCTCTCAGAGCCTCTGGACAGTGAGACTGGGGCAGGGCTGAAGGTCTGGCGCTGTCCGAGCATGGTGGCCAGCAGAGCCTTCAGGTACTGGCGGAAGCGGTGGCTGGAGAAGGCGTAGAGCACGGGGGTGAAGCAGCAGTGGAGGAAGGCCAGGCTCTCGGTCACCTGCATGGTGTAATCCAGGCGCCGGCTGACCTGGCAGTCCCCAAAGACCTGCAGGTCCAGCAGTGAGTGGAGAAACAAGGTGAGGTTGTATGGGAACCAGAAAGTGAAGAAGGCCACCACCAGGGCCACCGCCATCCTCAGTGCCCGGGCCTGGCCCTGGGGCCGCAGCCTCACCAGGACACAGCCGATGCGGGTGTAGAAGAAGGTCATGGCCAGGAGAGGAAGGAGGAAACCTAGCAGGTTCTGCTGGAAGCGGAGGAAGAGCTTCCAGGTGGTCCCATGTCCCCCGAAATCCGGGTAGCAGCTCCACACGCCCTTGGGGTGCTCATGCACCTGCACGAAGACCATGTCGGGGACAGAGATGGCCAATGACACGGCCCACACCAGGGCAGCCAGGAGCAAGCTCTTGGCCCGGGTCCTCAGCCGGTGCACAGGCTGCGCATGGACAATCTCCAGGTACTTGTCCAGGCTCATACAGCCGATGAAAAAGATGCCACTGTAGAAGTTGATGGTGTACAGCGTGCTCACCACCTTGCACAGAAGACTGCCAAAGACCCAGTGCCAGGCCACGGAGATGCCCCAGAAGGGCAAGGTCACCACAAAGAGGAGGTTGGATATGGCCAGGTTCAGCAGGTAGACCTCGGCCATCCGCCGGTGGGGCACGCAGCGCAGCAGGACCACGAGCAACAGCAGGTTCCCTCCCAGCCCCAGCACAAAGATTAGGCTGTAGAAGATGGGCAGGAAGATGCGGGCGAAGGACTGGACTTCACCCTTTGTGCACACCAGGACGACCACCGACTCCAGGTAGTCGTAGTCGTAGTAGAAGCTGCTGTTCTCAGAAGCGGCACCCTTGGTGGTGAGGGCTGCAGGGGAAGCAGTGGTGGCCATCACGGCGGACACTCCCGGGCCTGGAGCTCTGCAGTGGGGTGAGAAAAAGAAATCGGTGAGCTCTGTGCGGCCATCCGCCACAGCAGATGCTGCCCGGGATGTTCCTTGGGTGGTGCTTCGGGTGAGAACACAAACTTGGGGCACCACGGTGTCACCCCAGACAAGTGGCTTCACACTGGGCTTCTTTGAGTGGCTTTGCTTTTCTATCCCTCCTCCCTGACCACCATTTAAAACATCTCTATCTTTCAGGTTCTTCTTTATTACTGAGGGACACCAGCTCGCCCATTCATTGAGCCTCAGCACCTTAGACTGCCACACGGAACACTCCGGCTCCTTTCACAGACTGGATCACGGAACACTCCAGATTCGTCCACAGGCCCCTCACTAGCACCCCGTCTGGCTCTGCCCTTGGCTCTGCCCACTTGCCTCTGAACCCCACAAAAATACATTCATGGTATTCTTAACATTTCAAACAAAAATGAAACCAAAAACTATATTCGAAGGAGTACAGACCAACAAAAGGGGAGGCAGGGGAGTGGCAGGCACAGATTCAAGATGGCAGTTGCCTGGGTAGGAAGAGCCACCGGCAGCCATGGGGTGGACCATGGTGATGGCGTGAGCCACCGTCTGCTTTCTCTGGGAGCAGTGGCTTCCCAGGACTTTATTATTAAAAATAATGTTTGTACATTACAAGTAGCAGACTTTGCAGCTTTTTTTTTCTTTTGTTTTCTTTTTTGTGGTACTGGGGATTGAACTCAGGACCCTGCGCTTGCCAGGCAGGCACTTATTCTACTGAGCTATCTACCTGGCCCACTATTTTGATTTTTACTTTAAGTGACAAATAGCTATCCATAGTCACTGGGCATCACATGCCTGTCCACGCCTGCAATGACTCGTGACCACGTCAGAGTAACTACACCAACACATCCATCACATCATTTCTTTCAAACTACTTTCTTCTAGCTTTGTGAAATGCTCAATAAAGTCCAAGGTCCTGAGTTCAATCCCCAGTACCTCAAAAAAAAAAGAAAGAAAGAAAAAAAGAAAAAAGAAATGCTTAATAATTTGCTATAGTCCCCTACTGTGCCCTGAGATGCCAGAGCCTGCTACTCTTCTCTGACCACCTCTGCATCTGCCAGCCCCTCTCCCAAGCCCCCTCACCACCAGGCCCCTCACCCCATTCCCTGCTTCCAGGAGAGGAAGCTTCTTGCTTTCACACACTAGTGACAACAGACAGCGTTTGCTGTTATGCTCCTGGCTTTTCTCTTCTAACGGGATGTCCTGGCCAGGAGTCCTAGCACTCGGGAGGCTGAGGCAGGAGGGCTGCTGAGAGGCCCAAGCAGGCTACACTGCAAGATGACCCTGCCTCGAAACAAACAACTAGAATGACAACATCCTCAGGTTTGCAGCAATGTCAGGATCTTATATATCCAGTGGCCAAAGAAAATCCCATTGTGTGTATACAGCACATTTTCCTTATTCCTGCCCTGAAGTGACAGTCAGCTCACGTGACTCCTACTGTGGCAGCTGTAAGCAGTGTCACCCAGTCAGGCCATGGCCAGGCAGCCGTGTCTTCAACATTCTGACCTCATGTTCTTTCGAAAGTATCCAGGAGTGTGACTACCACATCATATGCTACTACTACTTTATATTTAAATTAAATTCACTTTTCACTGATACATGGACCATGGAGTCACACATCTTTACGTGGTACTGTGTGCTGCTTCAGTACGTGTAAGCATTGTGTGTGTGTGTGTGTATACTTTTTTTTTTTTTGGTGGAACCGGGGATTGAACTCAGGCCCTTGGGCTTGCAGGCAAGCGCTTATTCTACTGAGCTGTCTCCCCAGGCCCGCTTTGTATAATACTTAAATCAGGTTACCTGTATCTGTTTAAAGATTCTTTGTGAATCCGCCTGGTGTGGTGCCACACCCCTGTCATCTCAGCGCTCCAGAGGCTGAGGCAGGAGGATCATCACGAGTTCAAGACCAGCCTGGGCTACAAAGTGAGTTCAAGGCCGGCCTGAGTTGACCCTATATAAAATATATACAGTAGAATACAGAGATCTAGTTTCATTCTTCCACTTGTGAATAAGCAATGTTCCCAGCTCCTCACACATGCTGAGTAAGGGCTCTACCCTGAGCTACACCCTCAGCCCAGGAAACGTCTCTGAGAGCACCTTCCGCGGGCTGACGGCAAGAGTCTGTCATGAGTCAAGAAGTGTGCTCAGCCCTCTGCTGTGTTCCAGCAGAAGCAGACTAGGTTCAGGTTCACTGTAGGGAAGGGGCTTCGGGAGCAGAGAGGCAGGCGGGAGGAGCGCCTGGCCCAGCGGGCGGGGACGCAGCGCGGGGG